AATGTTAATAACTTATAATGAACGTTTTGGATCAATTATTAGATTGTAAGTACCGTGTGGCATTCAATTAATATATTATTTTATTCACGGACTATTTCCTGAGGTCATTGATAATATCATTAATGACGTGAATATATTGTATCCAATACCCTAAGCAATAATTTTGGTCAGGTGATAGTTTATATATTAAAGTAACAATTCCAAGTAAGTGGCTACTTCGGATACAACAATAAAGCTATATGAAACATTACAAGAAAATGATTATATCAAAGGTGAGAAAAAAATTTGTTGTACGCAACCAAGGAGGGTTGCTGCAATGAGTGTTGCCGCTCATGTAGAAGAAGAAATGGGTGTAAAACTTGGATATGAGGTAGATGATTCGTAATGATTAATGATTTATTATGATCATATATCTTATATAATTTATAGGTCGGATATGCGATTAGGTTCGAGGATTGTACTTCAAATAAACTATAATTAAATATATGACCGATGGTACTTCTCCGTGAATCTTTGTCTACCCCTTTATTAGATGATTATAATTGTTTAATGTCGATGAGGCACACGAAAGAACTTTACGTACTGATATCTTATTCGGTTTAGTAAAGGTAATATTAACATATAATTATATTATTTCTAGAATTTTATAAATTATTATAATGTCATTAACATTTCTCTTAATAATTCAAGGATATTGTCCGTGTAAGACCTGATCTCAAACTTTTAATATCAAGTTCCACTTTAGATGCTCAAAAGTTTGCAGAATACCTTGATGCACCAATTTTCAATAGTAAGAATTTAAACAATATGGTAATTCTCTTTATTCCATTCACATTACATAAATAACATCGATTACATTTATTTTATTATAAATATAAAGTTCCTGGCAAGCCTTATCCTGTACAAGTATGCTACACTAAAGTACCTGAAGCAAATTATATATCCGCTGTTATCACTACAGTAATGCAATTGCACATTTCACAAAAGAACGGTGACATATTGGTTTTCCTTACAGTAAGTATAATAATAATTACATGTTTTAATATTCTACAATGTTTAAATATTTATCATTAATTAATAATGGGGTTTTTTTTTTTACAATTCTTTTACTTTTACAGGGACAAGATGAAATTGAAGCTGTGCATGAAAGTTTACAACATACCTGTAGGGTTCTTGGAAGCAAA